GGCCGCCTCCGTAGCCGCCGCCGAGTCCGCTTCCGTAGCCGCCGCCGAGCCCGCCGAGCCCGCCGAGTCCTCCTCCGTTCCTGGTACCGTTAGTGGTCAAGGTCATCTCGTCGTTCGATCGGATGGCCGACTTCTTTTCTCTCGGGATTCCGTCCGTTAGGGGGATGGCTCTGGGTCGGGGGTCGTTAATTTATCATCGGTGGATAAGTGTTAGATGTAAGGCGTTATTTGTATCGTTATCGTTATCGTTATTGTGGTTTGTTTGCAGATGAGGTTCGTGTTACTGGTGGCGCTGATCGGCGCCGTGATGGCGGATAGCCCGCCGAGTGCAGTGGAGGCGAAGCCGGAGAAACGAGACGGTGGTGGGCACGGGCACGGGCACGGGCACGACCACGGGCACGGGCACGGAGGCTCGGGGCTCGGAGCGTCCGGTGCGGGCGGTGCCGGTGGAGGCTACTCCGCGCCGGCTGCGTCCTACAGCGCGCCGTCGTCCGGATACGGCGCGCCGGCGGCCGCGTCGTCCTACAGCGCGCCGGCCGCGTCTTACGGCGCGCCGTCCGCTTCGTACGGCGCTCCGCAGCAGGCCGCACAGCCGAGGTGAGAAAACCGGAAGCTCGCGTAACGGTGCTAACGGTGACGGTGCTAACGGTGACCTCCGGGTGATCGATAGCGATAGCTTTCCAGGCCCGTCTAACAGTTTCGGGATTTGCATCCGGAGTTCGCGGAATGCATTCTTGGGATTCCGACGCCCACTTTAATGGAATGCCGGCCTGGCACTGGCCTGGCACCTGGCCAGACAGCCACGCTTTGCCTCTCCATTCCTATAGATGGAAATCGGATCTTTTTTTTTCCGCTAATGGTAATGGTAATTATGGAAAAAAAAATTGGAATGACAATAGAATGCTATGGTGTTAAGCGACTTAAAGGGATCGAGCATATTAGGCGGGTGCCGTTAAGTGGTTTTGAACTCAATGGGCGGAACGACCCATAACAATGGATGCTCTGCTAATTATATGGCTCTAATTAGCGCATTCCTGCGCCGTCAGGATTCCTGCAAGACAGGTCTCAACCCGTTGCTCCTAATTAATTGCATAATTAATTAGATTAATTAGAGAAAACATGTGTTAGGCAGGAGAAAGCCGTGTTCGATGATTAGACCGTGTCGAAACAAATGTTCGCCATTGGTTCTATTGGCATTGGTGGCCAATTTTTAAAATGGAGTCGATCGTGATGAATCCCCTGGCTTCCCACGAAAATAATTATCAGTAATTATCTCATTAATCTTTTGGCCCGAGAGGAACGCGGATGTCATTACTGCATCATCGGCAAAAAAAATGGCAACAAAATGGCAACAAAAAAATGGCAACAAAAAAAATGGCAACAAAAAAAATGGCAACAAAAAAAATGGCAACAAAAAAAATGGCAACAAAAACAATTGGCAACAAAAAAATGGCAACAAAAAAAATAATTTCACACAATTTCTTTCGCAGCTACGGCAGCAAAGGAAGCACGGGCTACTACTACTACTACATCCCGATCCAAGAGCACCACGGCGGCGGCGGTGGCGGCGGCGGTTACGGCGGCGGCGGCGGCGGCGGACTCAAGCTCGGCGGCGGAAAGGGCAAAGGAGGCGGAGGAGGACTCGGCGGGCTCGGCGGGCTCGGCGGCGGCTACGGAAGCGGACTCGGCGGCGGCTACGGAGGCGGCCTGGGCGGCGGCTACGGCGGAGGCGGCGGCGGCAAGGGAGGCGGAAAGGGAGGCGGCGGCGGCAAGGGAGGCGGCAAGGGAGGCGGCGGCGGCCTCATGGACAGCATCGGCAAAGGCATCAAGAAGATGGGCGTAAGTCCGCTTTGCCCTTTACGGTCCTCTTTGCTCCTTCGGCCTTTTTTTTTTTGCTTTTTTTTTGAATTTCAGACAATTCCCAAAAGCGAATTTTTATAAAATTTTATTTTAATTTTTAAATCAGTTGGTTTCGATGTAATATTTCCGAATCATTTTCTTCATAATTTTTTTTAGCATTTTATACGAATGTAATTTCATGAAGGTGAATTAATGATTAAAAAAAAACCATTAGAAATTGCCTTCGGCCAATTGCCCATGGATATCGACCCGCACGAAAAATCCAATTTCGATGCAGATTTTCACCTCCCATTTCAATATGAAGTTTAATCAAAGTTTGATGCCCTCGAGGGCAAGCCCACGAGGGCATGCCCACGAGGGCATGCCACCCCCGACCGTCTCACATCTCCCGTCCGCATCGCAGGACAACATGAAGAAACTGTTCGGCGGCGGCGACGACTACGGCAGCAGCTCCGGCGGCGGCTACGGCAGCTCCGGATCCGGCGGCGGCGGCTTCGGCTACGCCTCCCGTAACGACAACACCTGGACCAACGCCCTCGCCTGGGGCGTCGGAGCGGCAGTCCTCCTGTCCGCTGCACCTCTCCTGTATCAGGCGATCGGGACGCCGCTCATCGCCGGGAGGAACCTCCAGGAGGCTCGCGCTCTCGGTTACCAGGTGAGACATCCGGTCGTACCGTATGACCCCGTGGCTCGAGGCCATAACCCCACGTCTTCGTAACAGTTGTACGAGACGACGAAGACGAAGATCTACGATAACGCGCCGAGCCAGGAGGAGTTGGGCCAGGTGACGGAGGCGGTCTACGCCGCCATCGACAACGAGGAGTGCATGAAGAGGATCTGGTGCGAGACCGGGTCCATCTTCCGCAAGTACAAGCATTCCGACCGGGTGCTCACGTGAGTGTCGTTGCAGGCCTCCTTCCTCCTCGCGCGGCGTCCTCCCCCCGCTGCATCCTCCTTTCGCTGCAGCGCTCCTTACCTTCCGTTGCGTCCTCCCTCCTGCTGCGTCCTCCCTCCTGCTGCATCCTGCTTTCGCTGCAGCGCTCCTTACACTCTTTCGGGGGAACTCCTTAAACGCGTCTGGGAGCTTCTCATTCTCACGCGCGCGTGTTTCCCGTTGCAGGATGGTCCAGAAATACGGTCCCAAGATGGTGAACACGCCGGTGAAGGCTCTGAAGAAGGCGATGGAGCTGGGCACGTGCGAAAAATACAAGTGCGGCAGATTAAAGCTCAAGGAAGAATGAGAAGTCTCGCTTAGCCGTTACTTATCCGTTGCCGAGGGTATCCGTTTCTCTTTCTGAATCCGGCGCCGGTTTCTCCACTTATCGCATGTAAATACGGCAGGTCTCCTCGGAGTTGGAAGTAATCCCATGGTGAACAGTTACCAGGCCTTTTTCTCCCCTCGCAGAATTCACCAGCCAATCACATTTTGCAGCTGCTCAAGCGTGGTGTTCCCCGTTGTCGATGTTACATGTCTTGTCAATTTTTCCACGTGTTTCTTTCGTGAATCGTCTCTGCCACAGTGGGCATGAGATCAGCGTACAAAGTCGTCATGTTTCGTCGATCGGTGTTTGTTTTTGTTGACTGTTTTTTTGTTGATTGTTTTTTAATTGTTTTTGTTAATTGTTTTTTGTTAATTGTTTTTTTTTGTTAATTGTTTTGTTTTGTTGCTCGTGGTTCGTCTGGCCCAGTGTCGCGTCCGTGATTTTTTTTCGTCGTCTGGGAAGTAACTTTACATGATAGCTGTGATTCGTGGTAAATCGATGTCCTCAGTTGCAATTGTCCGCGTCACGTCCTCGGTCGCAATTGCCAACCTCGGTCGCAATTGCCCATGTCCTCGTCTCTTTCTCTCCCGTGTGATCGTGCCCGATGTCGTGACCGTGTGAACCGTACCTCTCGTGCTGTTCTTGCCAGAGCCAGTTTTTGTATAACGGCGGTGAGGAGATTTTTTGTTGTAAAATCTGGTATGATAATCCCCGTTCGCCTCTTAGCTAAGTTATTCTAAGTTATTGAGAATATTTATTCCCGAGAGAAAGGCGCGGCCGCAGCTTTTTAAATAACGCATCCGCGACGGATGCATTCTCTGTAAGCCTTGTAGGTTCTTCCCTTCCCATCGTAGGCACCCAGATCATTTCGCACGTGCCAAAAATTTTCGCACACTTCTAATTTTTTTTTTGGTTTCGAAGTGGCAGGATGAAAAAAATTTGCCGACCTGGAAAAATACTCGCACGTTTCCTTTTTTTTGCACCGCACAAACCTTGCAGCAGGTTCTGCATGCAGGAAAATGCGTTTTTTTTTCTTTTTTTTCTTTGCGAATCTTGATTCACATTTGCACTGCTCGCCTGTTTTCCCTGTCGCCTTTTTGTTGTTCGTCGACCTGCGACGATCCCTGTTGTTTTTAATAAAAGAAATGTCAGTCAGCCGGCCCCGAGTCATTTCCGATTTCTGCAACGAGAGGGAAGAAAATTGCGAAGGGCGAAAGCGACCTTTGGGACCTTTGCAAACTGACCTTCGAGGAACCCTGACCTTGGGAAAAAAAATTAAAGGTCACCACGGATGACTCGATATTTGGCGGAGAAAGGTGAAAAGGACATTTAAAGGTTTTTTGAAAGGCTAGAAGAGGCTGATCTCTGTAATCTGATCTAATCTGTCTTGCGGTTAAGCGTTTGGATAAGCGGGTCGGATGGAAGAGTCGAATGCGACGGACTTGCTCCGCTGAAAACGATTAGCTCAGCTGATAACGATTAGCTAGATTGCTCCGCTGAAAACGATTAGCTCAGCTGATAACGATTAGCTAGATTGCTCCGCTGAAAACGATTAGCTCAGCTGATAACGATTAGCTAGATTGCTCCGCTGAAAACTGCTGCATGGCAGAAATTCGTCTCCATGAATGGTTTGCTAATTTTTTAGCCAAAAACTCCGTCGTTGCACATTGCTCATCATCAGTGTTAATTAGTAGCTTTATAAGTTCATAATTAACCGCATGAAACGAGGACGAAAATTTCTGGAAAACACAAAAACCACGAAAACTTGCATAAATTATCCCTTCATGAAATTGGGTCAGAGGAATAAGTCCGGGAACTTCTCGATCGGCCCTCGCAAGCGCGAGGAAGAGAGAGAGAGATTGACCTGGAATTGCCCTGGAAACATCCTCCACTGTGAAAGTGACATCCGCCGCTGCAACCTCCTTTCGTTCGGAATGAAAAAAAAAATAAAATCCTTCGGCCGAAAAATGGATTTTCCTTGTCTGCGGCGTTATCTGCGATCTCCGATCACGATGGATGTCCGGGCCGACATCCGGGCCGACATCCGGGCCGACATCCGGGCCGACATCCAGGCCAACATCCACTCCAACATCCGTTCCGGCACGGGCTTCGAAATCATCACGGGGCTCCTTCATTAAGTATTCACCTGTCGGTTTCCAGCTCGGTAAAGGCGAAGGACCAATTGGCCATCTCGGCCAATTGGCCTACTAAACGTCACGAATTCCATTCCGAAAAAAAACTCGTAAAAAAAAATTAGTAAAAATCAGCCAAATTATCTCTACTCGTCGGATAGGCTTAATTAATTGTGCCATTGAAAATACAGTACCGGAATATTTAATTTGGATTTCCTGGAAATATCACCAAAAAGATTAGAAGCAAAGTTAAAACGAGTTTTATCCCACAAGAGAGCGGATTACCAAGTTTGGCCAAAAGGGTCGTGAACCAAATTTGGCCAAATTTGGCTCAGGAGCCATAGGCTTCAACCTTTCGCACGTGAAATCTGGAAATTTTTGCTGCAGAATCTGAAAATCTTGAATTTAGGTTTGACCACAAAATTTTTTTTATTATATATATATACCTTCCCTTAAAAATTTAATTTTTTGTTTTTGTTCTCTCTCTAAATTTGCTGATTGAGTGCGAGATTGAGGAGTGGTTGAGGAGTAATTGAGGAGTAATTGAGAAGTAATTGAGGAGTAATTAAGGAGTAATTGAGGAGTAATTGTTCTTTTGTTCCTCGTTTCCAGACCACGGGTCTGGAAATTTCCTGACGATGCGAAAATTGTTCCATCGATGTATTTTGTATTTTTTTTTTTAGTAGTGGCGGAGAGTGACCCAGAATCTTGGGATAAAAAAAAATTATTTCTGAGATTCAATTACCGAAAATTTTTAAAAACTAATTTTGGTAATTGAAAGGTAAGATCCACGGGGAAAGCTATAAGAAGCCGAATAAAGCAAGGAAACGCGAGAAAAATGACAAGAGACAACAGAGCTCTATGAGGGCAAAAATTTTAGGTCCCAACCCAAAAAAAAAAAAGATTCGCTGAACTCGGCAGGCAGTCGACACTCGCACGCGCCCGGATGACGACATCCGCCCGCCTGCGCCGCCGCCGCCAGACTGGCGCTCGGCCGCTTCCTGCATGCGGGTTTTGTTCCTCGGAGGATGTCGCTGGCGGAAGGGCGAGGGCAATTGGGCGAGGCTGCTTCGTTAGGCCTAGGGCTGGTCATTGTTGGTTTGACCCGCGAGGAGTGCGGGAGGGTCTCCGAGGCAGGTCAGGACTTCTTCCGTCACGTGTCTCACGAATTTGCCATTTAAAAGAAAAATTGATAGTGGCAGGTGTGTTGCGTTGTCACACCTGTAATATCTAAGTTACTATTAGCGTTCTACCGGTATTTTCCTTCTGCATGCTATCTTGGCCAAGTAACTGGATCATTTGCTGTTGGAATTTATTTTTATGCAGGCAATAAAGGAAGGATCACTTCACTTAATTTTTATTTTATTTCTATTTTAATATTTTAAAATATTTAGGATTAAAAATTTTAGCTCTGCTGACAGAATGGAACCGAAATTGCCAAACTCTTTCCAGCAGATGGAGTATGCATGAGTACATGGAAACAAAACGTATAACTGATTCTTTCCAAGCATGTAATTTAGTGCAGAAAAAATACTGGGACATGTTGAGAGAGTTAGATTCGGAGAAGATACCCGAAACGGTTGAAGTAACGAATGAAAGTTGCGATGAAATTTAGAAAATGTGAGGAGGAAAGTTTAACATGCTCTCCAGCAATTTCGTAAAACATTTGACATATTTTTTTGGCCAGAGTATTTTTTAGAGGCATGGGACTGAACTCCCCAACCGATATCCAACATCTGCATGTCCATGGCAGTGAGGAATTGTGGATTGAATGGACTCAATGGGTTCCTCTAAGACTCGCTTGCTTTTAATCCACAAGTGGTGCCCTTGATTTTTCATTATGTAATTGGTATCATGGGGTTGGGTTGACCCCAGCAATGAAAACCACAACAATATGAAGCTTTCGGGAATGAAGAGCTAGTTATTGTGGCAGTTTCCACAATACTCCCACACTGCAGGTTCTCGTACCATGTGAAGGTACTGGGAGGGACACGTCGATCACAAGTGCTATCTCTTGGTCCTAGACTCTATGGGGTCTCTTATGACCACACAAGACCAGTTGAGGGTGTAATGGATGTGCAACATGTCATTAAGGAGAGACAGAAGAGAACATTTAAGTCCTTTGGAAATTGCTTGGAAGGAAGTCCTGGTGCTTCTCATGTGTTTATTTATTTTAGTTCAGATATTGAGACATTGTGCAGAGTAAATTGCATTCCAAAGTCAAGGAAGTAATAAGGTCTTGATGAATGATTGAATGCTATTGGGTTCTGATGACATAATGAGTTATATGGGGGCATTCATGCAGAAATAGTTTAATCACTAATTGCAAAATCACTCAGGCGGCAAATAACAGCTTCAAGGGTTAACTGCGACTTTCGCAAGTCATTGGTGGAGATGCTTCAGGTTTCACTTCTCATTATTCTCGATGGACTTGAATAGTACATCAGTATGGTATGACACCATGCTGGTGACTGTTAACACGGCAATACACCCTTTCCCCCAGCTCGCATTTGCAGTGCCTCGTGTTTGTTTGTTGCCTTCCAAGCTATCGAGATGCCATGTGTCTGTGTACTCTCATCTCTGAGAAATTATTTCTAGAACTTATTTCTGAGTCTCTCATCAATTGTGTGCGTTGGAATTCATGGCCACTACTGGGACAACAGCATGCTTGTCTTTGGATCTGCCATCCTGCACACTCATCCTCAGGGTCTTGTCACCCTTTTCAAGTAGCTGAGGTAAGTTTCTTTTTCAGTGTACTATTTTCTACTGTTGAAAATAGTTAAGCCTTTCTATGACATTGCTGGGACATGAAATGTATAATTGGCTGACATTAAAGTTGAAAGTGAACATAAATATCTGGAAGTTAATTTCTGAAGTGTCACATTTTACTTACATTTTTTTTTTAATGTACAGGATCATTTAACTCCTGATGGTCCTAAAATTGGTAAATTTTTATTAATTTTATCATAGGATATTGAATTGAATATGAATATTGAATTGAATTGAATATTGACCATATTTC